TCCAACTTGAACCGGAACCATCCGAGGCTACCTCGTCAGTTTCTTAATTCATGGAACGAAATTAAGATTGTCCTCGTTAATTCTCCCTAAGCCACCTCGTTGCCTCGTTTGTCCTCGCTATAATTTGTGCAGATACTAAGTACTGAGAAAACACAGCGTCAAATCACAACACGGACACCAATGCTGACGTGCAGGCCCCTGAATTCGTGGTCCTCATAATATCAGTATTAGGTGTGACTCCACTCCAATTGCGGTTGGAGCTTCATCTTTGGGCGTGTGGAACATCTCGTAGGACGACTGCAGCACCCGATCCGCGATGTAGTGAAGTCTGGTTTGGGACCTGCGGGCGCTGAGACCTGTCGTTGACCGCTGAGGATGCGATGCTCAAAACAACCAGACCGAGACAGTCCGGTAGGAACAAAACTGCAGGTGAATGGAACCGTATGTGAATGTGTTTTGGAACACTTCGCACATCCGGTCCAATGAGGTTCAAAAGAACTGTGGGTAACTCTTCGCCAAGTCTGAACACCCTTCAGATGTGACACTGGACATTGATGGGAGGGTCTGAGTCCCCAAACGAGTCTGAACTTCACCTCTCTGACTTCGTCCCTCAGAAACTGCGGCTTCGACGCCATGTTTGCCATCGTCCTGAGGATCCCGACTGCTTGAAGATGTCCTGGCTCGCCGCACACTTGGCAAAGAAGTCCGTGTAAAGATCGTTGCGAAAGATATCCAACTGCCTGGAAGAGGCGGATGAAAGGTGGCCCGGTTCAGCCCCGGTCCGGGCGGATGGTCGACTGACCGGCGGTGACCAAGACACAAGAGGCGGTTTAGGTCTGTCACACCCCCTCTGGAGAACCTTGATAATCTCTTCCTCCCAAGAACATGGAATTCTATGGAATTCTTAATGAGTAACTTTGCTATATAAGTGCACCCACGTAACTTTCCGCCGAACCCAATGCATCAGTCCCCCGATCCCTCTTGCAGTCAAGCAACTCTTCCTTCAAAGATGCAAACAGCTGAGCATTGTAAGACTTGAAGGCACGGGCCTGGCGCGCGACGAGCAGTCAAGAGGTCTTTTATAAGAGGTTTTGTTGTTCTGGAAAGGCGAGTCTCAGCATCACATGACATGGTAGTTTGCTGGGTAACTTTTGCACATGTTCAACTTGTTAGATGATGTTAGATGCATTATGATGCATTTATATGCATTTATTTGTCCAATCTACAGAAGTTGAGGGACGCTAAAGTAATCTTTCTTCCTCCACCAAACGGCCCTCAAGATTCGTCACCCGGAGCTCCTCACCTTTTGAGTGGACTCGTTCAAGTTGTGGCTGATGGTGGCCCAAAGCCACTCCCAAGCCGTCTCATGGCTCATGCTCCAAGTCTTGGGAAGCCTTGCGAGATAGCGGCCGAAGAAGGCGGGCATGCATGGAAAGCCAACATTGGGACATGCATGCATTCCGTCGGTGTCCTTGCTGTTATGTTAAGCCAGTTCCGGGAGTGAGTGGGTCCAGATCCGAAAAAGGAACATGATGGGCCAATGGTGGGTTTCAAAGTTCATTCTTCTTTTTACGTTCGCAGGCAAGAATGTTTGACTACGGGGATCAACAAACAAAACAAGACGGGCTCTCATGCGTCGTCTCGGTGTGCCTTCGTCGTCGATGCGGAGGCGCTTCGTCGTTCGGCCATCGCATGCATGACTCGCGTTGCGTCCGGGGCAAAGAGCTTTAGCTCGGGGGCGAAGTGTTGCATAAGTTATCCCGTCAAGAGCATAGTTGCCCCGCAATATCCCGCAATCTAACGTAATCTAAGCAACACTGGCAACCCCTTCCAGTCCACTGCTCCCTTGAGCGTTTGGACCCTTCACCAAGGAACAAAGACCGAAGAGCCGCCAACATCACGGGTTTGAATTTCTCAAATTGGATGTCCTGAATGGTGGGCCCGGGGGGCCCGGGGGCTGAAGAAAAACACATGTTGACTTGTTGTTTGCGTATATATATGTATATATATATATATAGAGAGAGATGGTTCATGATGGTTCTATACGACATATATATATATATTATATAGTTATTTATATATATATATATTGCACGTCATTCTAGAATCTCCACATGGGGGAGGTTTTATATGGTTTTATTGACCAGCTGGTTTGCTAGCTCCTCTCACCCTTCACCAGTCGATGTTGGTCAAACAACGAGTCTTCCACGGGTAGAGATTGGCCCCCAAAAGGATTGGCCGTGAAAACATACATTGCTTTTTGAATGGACCAAGGTCGAAGCAATGTACAACGGAACTGGATCCTCCATTCTCGCAAAGTCCCTGTGACTCATGGCTTAAACACCGAATTTCTGTTTGTCACTCAGTCAGAAAGAAGCTGAACCATGCTGCACCCCAACCCCACTAGCAGAATGGAAGATTTGCAAAACCCAGCGGATGTTGATATCCTTCCTGGTTTCTGGTTGAGATATCTCCCTGTGCGGCTGTTTAATTGCACATTTTTTTCTCACGGCAAATGTGTCCACACCGAGTCATCTAGATCGGTGGATGAGAGAGATTCCGCAAAGTCCAAGTTTACAACCGGCTCCGGAGTGGGCTCCTGAATAGAAACAAAGTCTGATATAGGCTTGAAACAAATCTGTTTTGTTGAACATCACGCATCATCGACGTGTCACGAGACCAAGCATGTCAAGCTATAATAGGTGCCAATAAGTCAAGATATGGTGGAACAAACGATCGTTCTTTTCTCTAAAACCGACTGCAGCTCGACCGGGTCAAGCTCCGATACGTGCGGATCTGGTCGGCACTGAGCAGGGCGCTAAGCTCAAGGTGCTAAGCCAAACAGGATTACATTGACTACACATACCATAAGACATGGCAAACATGTTCTTAATTCCAACATCTACATACTAGATGTTGGAATCAAGAACATATACCAGAATGTCAATTGAATTTCATGCAAACGCACGACGTTCAACTGCTCCTGATGGGTCGTTGTAGTGGTTGAGTTTTGTGCTGAGTTTGGACTCTTCGGTCTGGGTGAAGGTGGTAGAATATGGTAGAATGAATGAATGTTGAATGGCCTCTGCAAAAACAAGTATATGTTCATTATATGTGTTCATAGATGTTCATCGGACTGGTACTGCCTTAGCCTTAGTGCAAACGGATTCCATCAGCACCGTTGGCACATGTTTGGCCAGCTGGAACGCCGTTGCCCTCCGCAGAACCGAACAACCTCACCGTCCTTGGCTTTGCTAATCATGCTGATCGCCAGCAGCTCGCATTCCTACAGGGACGGATGCCAATTCGGCTGATGCGTCTCGTGATTCCAAGTCCAAATGAAGTTCATGCTTCTGCTCTGGGGTGGGCAGGTACAAAGATCCGGGACACTGCCCTGCTTAGATGTAGTGATTCATTATAAACAAACAAATAACAAGTCCAAGAAGCAGCTTTCCGCACCCAAAAAAACACATGCAAGAACCTTTAGATCGATGCACTGCCCCCCCGTGGACGCGCGGGACCTGGAGGAGTAAGGCGAGTAGGGCATAGTAGGGCTACTCACAGCATGGCCACTGGTGGCTCGAACACCATCGAACACCATGGACGGAGTGTGAGAAGGCAGCCCGCAGCCCGTCTGACCAGAGTAGGGGGATGCACAGTCCACCCAAAACGATCTCCTAAGGCTCGTACCCCTCCTCAAAAGGTAGGGATGGACCCCTCTCACACCCACCTCAACCACCTTTCTCAACGGAGGTAGATAGTTGGAGCCCAAAACGATGGGATCCAACGGTGGCTTCAGCAGCTCTTCCGGTCCCAGGTGGAACGCCAACCGCCACCGGAGCTGCAGTTCCACCGCATGATGCGGAGGAACTGCAGCAGACGTTGACCTGCCAAAGTTGAAGTATGAAGTTGTATGAAGTCTAGGACCCTAGGAGCCCAAGAAGTATAATTATAAGTCACTCCGTGAGAAACTTCACCTCAGCCATGTTCTAACCACTTCAGCAAAAGCACGGTTTTTCTTCATTGTCAATACTCCAAACAGCATGGCCCTTTAGGTCTCATTCCATCCGAGCCATGTCGTTGGTTCAGCGTTGCACCGACCGGTGCTTCGTCGTCGGCCGGTCCATCCCGAGTCGGCCGTTCGGCCTCCATGAGGTGAGAAGGGTTGGCAATCCTTTCGACCAAGACCTGAGGTTGGACCGTAACAAGGGCACCGCTACTAGGAGCAAGGATGCTACTAGGGGCTCCTGGCCTTGCTACTAAGAGCAAGAAGCTACTAGTAGCTCCTGGCATTACTACTAGGAACAAGAAGCTACTAGTAACAATGGCACCGCTACTAGTAACAAGGGCATTACTACTAGGAACAAGAGCATTACTAGTAGTAGCTCCCTATAAACAAGGACACCGCTTTTAGTAGTTAGAAGCTACTAATAACGAGGACCAGATCTGAGATGTTATGACCGTTATGACACTCCATCCATGGGACTGGAATAGCTATTACTAGTTACATTGATTGACCCCTATCGATGATCCCGGCTTGGGGATGCTTGGGGGAGACGCGCCAGGCGCGTTCCTTTTCGGCCGACTTGTCGTTTGCAGCATGACTGCTGGCAGGTGTGTTTGCGTCTTTGCTTTCGCTCTTGTTACGCAGAATGTTGCAAATGTTCTTGTCCTGTGAACTATCTCGCAGTGCATCAATCCGCTTACGTTAGATCAATACATCCTGGGCCGGGGTATATAATGTATATATATATATAATAAATAACTGGATGATTGAACTTATAAACAACCAGTACCAGAAACCGTGGATTAAGCGTACTAAATATCCCATACCAGAAACAGTGGATGATGATGGTTGGGTTGCAGGCCGATCTAAACTGGTTCTGCTTGTTTACTTGTTTACCAGCTGCTACAACGTCGCTCGCTTCGTGCGTTCGACCCTGCAATCAACGACAGTTCCGGGATCAATTCTAATGCGGGGGGGATCAAAAACACAACAATTGAATTGGCATTCTGCACATTCCGCTGTTTCTCAGCAAACATGCTAATCATCTCCAATCTTTGATTATTATCAACACGTAATAATGAGTATATCGGCAGTATTCTTTACCCCTTGGCCATTAAAAAAATGGTTGGAGCCGTAGAACTCTTTGGAGTGTAATCGGGTGAGTTGTCACCATGTTCGGTGGTCACTGGTCCATTTGGGGCGGAGTCACCATGTTCTGGTTCTCGTTAATCTGAAAGTGACAACCGAACATTGTTGTTCGGTTGTCACTTGTTACGAGTAACATGGGATCGCTTTCTCTCAGATTCTTGAGCATATGGATGAATCCCAACATTGGCGAGAGTCGGGCACCGGCACCGCTTGTTTACTGCACTTCCGCCACTGCCGAGCGTCAGTGAAGACCCCTAAGAGCTCTTCCATCCACCCTGCCGAGGACTTCGCGACCGGCGGTGAGTGACCCGAGGAGCGAGCGTTTCCTTCGTGAGGGCATTCGATGTTGGCATGGAACTGGAAGAAGTATATGAGCGGTGTCAAAAACCATCCGGAACTGCTATTAAGATTATAACTTATAACATCTTATAACAACCTTTCGCCAATCCCTTCGCAACGCTTTCGCGGCTGCATGTTTTGCTTTCGCCAACCCACTTGACCCCACAACCTCTTTAGCTAACCCTTTCGCCGAGTTTCTGCTACGTACATCTAAGAAAAGTATCAGCAAAGGGAATCATTCCTAATCTGCAACCACTGCTTTCGCCACATCTTCGCAAACCTTGCGCCAACCTTTCGCCTGGTTATCAGGAATCTTTGGATGACTTGCTTTGTACTGAAAACCTCTTCGCCAACCCTTTCGCAACAAAATCCATTCATCGAAAATTCAGAGCCTTTCTCCAAACCTTTCGCCAAGCTTTCCCCAACTGCAGTTTTCCTTTCGCAAAGACTCATAATCTTAAGTCCTACCAAAATTATTTCATAGAGGTTTATGACGTTGCTCATATATGGGTATGGCCAGAATGGAGGGTTCAGAACACTAAAGTCCTAAAGCCACAGGAAAACTTTGGGGGATCCCTTTCCGATCAATGTAACACTACCAGCGCCCTCCAACAGGAGACCTATTGTCTCCGAGTTTGGGAGGCTGAAATGGAGACGACCCAAAGTGGCAGGTTGTGACCTGGCAGTGATGCTGCTGGTACAAACAGTCCCTAAGGCTCCAAGTACCTCCTCACGAAGGTATTTGGACCCTCCAAACCCTAGTCATTTTGGACCCTCAGAAGGGATTTTGGACACCTTCTCAGAAGGTCCTTGGAGCCCTAAGGAGTGTGTCCTGTTTGGAACCAGAATCCACGTCATCGACCTCGCCTTCGATCTGTTGTCCGATGACTTCGCTGCTGAAGGTGCACATGCCCGCGAAGGAGCGTGTGACCGATTCCTCGCCCTCATGCTCCGCCTCTTGGGCATTTTGGATGACGTCCCAGTCGTCCTGGCGACTGTTTTATTGAAGAACGGGGAATCACTGTGAGACTTGGAGATAGATACCCAGACCATCCATGGGACTGGAAGAAATGGCGCCCCATTGATCCCCCAAAGCACCACCCCAATGTAAGGAAAATTTGATATTTGATAATGATAATATTTAATATATGGCAAACATGGTTGGTCTGGGATAGGAAGATTGGGGTTTTCCTCCCTGAGACTGAACTGCATTTCAGGGCTTACCTGGTTTGTCGTCTTTCTTCGTCAGTCAAACTGCCCAAAAACAAGGCCTCAAAATGTGCAAAAGAGCCAAAATAACTAGTTTTTGCCGGTTTAGCATTTTTTGGCAACTTATGCAGTCACGACGGTTAGTAGATGTTAGTAGAGACCCAAGTCAGGACTCTCCGAAGGTCTAAAAAGTTCTCTTCCATGTCTGAAGTTTGGTTGTGGATGTTTGTTGTGGTTCACAGACCTAAATAAAGGTTTGTTGAACTACCGAGAAAAATAATGCACAGCACAATACAACCACAAGATTGCAGGTATAAGCCCATCACAGCTGGATGATGATAGTCAGAAAAGGCGTTTGCTGAAAGGTGTGATAATTTGTTTTGGACTGCTACTGCTACTGGCAATCGGATTGATATGATTGACATGCCACTTCTGCTGTAAGACGCTGCAAGTATTGGGAGTAATATTGCAGGCTTTAGCACCGAAAACGAAAAGTGGATTTAGGATCAGTCGGCAAGCAGCAAAAAAACACGTCTCCAAATGGACAGAGAGCGGAACTTCTAGAGAGGGCCTTGATGATCTTCAACCGATCAGTGTAGGTTGCACTGATATACCTGCAGCAAAGAGCAGCACCGGCCGCACAGACCGGTAAAAAATAGGCCATTACAGATTACAAGGCATACGGCATATATATATATATATAACATTATTATATAACCGTTTTGTTAGGGTTCCATTCCTGTCGTCCTTATGACATAAGGCCAAGGCGATCTCTGTCAGAAATAGCTGGGGAACCCCAATGGGTCACGGGCGCTGCTTCGTGCAATGGGTCGCAGGCCCTTTGACGCCTTTGATCACAACTGCAAAACATCACTCCATCACCTGACCATCCAGAACATTATCTTCGGAAATACCGTCACTCAGGTTCCAGAATTTGGTCCAACATCAGGCACCGCCTGCTGAGATTGTGTTTGGGGTCGTCTTGGAGGGTTTCAAAGGATGTGGTTGGAGCCCTGGGGCGTATAATCATGTCAAAGCTCACACAAACCCATTAAGTCATCCGCCTGCAGCAAGATCCCGTGTAGGTCAGCATCTTTTGCCACGCATTGATTGAGCCTGCATACGGCATACTGAGTGCCAGAAAAAGAACCCCTGACCGTCCGAGACCCATCCTGGGCCTTTTGACCAACCCTCACAAAAAGCTGTTTTTGTTGTTCAAGGACGTATTCGGGTCAATACTGGATCCATTTTGGGATGCATATCCTGTATGCCTATGTATGAGCAAACATTCAAAGAATCGTGTCAAATTCATGTTGCTTGACAAGCCTTTTGAGAGGCTGAAAGTGCAGGGACTTTGTTTTTTCGGTCTTATCATTGCACATCGATGGTCTGAAAAGAGAACGTGCACAGACGGGTCTCGACCCGACGTCGTGGACCGAGCCCGAGCCGTGAGGCGATCCAAGCACTGATGGTCTGAAGTGCGGGAGAAGTGCGGACTATGGACCTCACATTTCAATAAGAACGGGCTCTACTTCATATTTCTAGGTTTTTGGAATCATGTTGAATCCTTCTTTAGGTCTTTGGAACTTGTGAAAGGCTTATCACTGGATATCGCTGGTAGGTCTTTGGCTGTAATGACTTTGGGGGACCAGGTTCAACCAAGTTCTTCAACTACAGAGGGCGTCTACATGCGTGTACAAGAACCAAGACTCCGTGTGTACAACCAATTGGCTTCATCCCCACCCCCATGAGGGGGCGACCTTCTTATTCTAACTTACATTTTCCATGTTGGTACCTGGAAAATGTAAGACATGTTCCAGGCAAGACGTACAACTTGTAATATTGCATGTTCCAGTTGCCAACATGCCTGAAAATGGCCTAAACAAACATGTAATTTACAATTATGGGACGTATGGGCCATATGACGTGTGCATGCACAGATTGCACAGACATGTTACATGTTAATGTTGGCTTATCCCAGGTTCCCAGCTAACGTTTTTCTTTTTAGGTATGCCCTTCTTAAAGTGTATTTTCTTAGCAAATGTTGTTTCTCTATCAATCCAATTTTGGCTTATCTCAGGTTCCCAGCTTGCATTTTCTCTTGAAAGTAGGTAGGTATGTCCTTCTTAAGGTTTATCTTCTTTCTAGCTGTTGTTTCTCTAGATTAGATTCACTGGTGCTCTCCCCAATTTTTGCTTTTCCCAGGCTCCCAGCTTACATGTTCTCTTGAAAGAAAATTTCGTATGCCCGTCTTAAGATATATCCTTAAGATTAATATGGGCATGCCCTTCTCACATCCAAACTTTCTACTAAGTTATATTATACATTTATTTAATCTATATTCAAAGGGGGTACCTTAACCTCAATAAATGCAAGTTACATTGTTTTCCCCCCTTCGTCCCTTTATTTGTCTGTCTCCTCTCTCAGTGTTTCCCCCAGAGTTGCCCAGGGATCTCCAGTCAGCGAATGTCTTTTGTGGGGGAGGGGGGCATAATGCAACTTTGAAGCTTTCGAATAGACTCGACAAACGAAGCAACCTTCCATGCCTTTGCTATCCGTTTTGGTAATGTCCAGCAACCCCCCCTGCAAAAGTTATGAAACTGGACCGGGGGGGTTCGTTACATTTATCACCCCCTAAAAAACAGTAAGTTACAAATAGGTGCAAGAAAAAGGACCCCCTGTTTTCAGTGCCTAAGGGGGTGGTGATTTTGCTTCTTCGTACGTTAATTCCCGGAAAGTTGCTACGGATGGCCCACTAGGCAATGGATGTGGACGTGGACTGGACTTGCGCTGGACTCCAGTTCCCAACGATTCGTTGAAAGTCTAGCACAAGTCCAGTCCACCTCCGCAGGCCATCAGTAGCGATTTCCCGTCGATGCGAATTAGGGCCATCCGTCGGGGCCGTCGAGGACAGGGCCTGGAGGAAGCTGAGGTACGTTCTGCTGCACCAACTCCAAAAAGGCTTCGGTGACGCCATCCACGCGTTGCTGAGTGATCTCGTTGCCCAAATGCCTCGAGATATCACGCGGCGAGCAAAGGAAACACCTGGGAAAGTTGTTCCAGGTGCTTTGGTGCCTTCAAGCTTTATTGGTTTATAAACATGGTATAAACAAGATTATATAAACAATACGAACAATAGGTGGAACATGGTGAAACCATGTGAAGCCCATGTGAAACCCTTGCAATTCATCGTAATTCAAGGGAAGTATTTCAAAATTGACCTATCGGACCTATCATGCATCTACACCCGTAATTGCTTAGCTTCACTCACGACGGAAAACAAAGATGTCTCGCCGAGTCTCGCCGTCTCGAAAACCACCCGCTCGGATCTGTTTCACCCGGGGCTCTTTTCGATTTCTGAAACCGATTCCGCTCTACCCTGAGAAGGTCCACTCTCTCCACCATATTCCACAATTACCTTGCGGTTCCAGAAACAAGTCGAATCTGCGGCCAAACAAGAACAAAGACACAGAACCTTTGCAGGTGACCGTCCTTCACGATGTTCATGGGATTTCGGTCCTTTTCACAGGCCTTTTCACAGGACGCCCCCCTATACCAGGTCACTCGGTCGGTCACTTCGAGCTTCCTTGACCCGCTTGCGCGAAGCGAAAACATCGATCCCACCAGCGACCGAAAGGCCGGGAAGACGCCGAGTGGCTTGAACGCCAAGGTTTCGACCTGGACTTTCAGGTCCTGGCGGATGAGTCCAGGCGTGCTCTCGAGCGCGAGATGGAGCCGAATGAGGTGGTGAGGTGGGCGTGTTTCAATGCGAGTCGCGGCCCGAGGTGGGTGCGAACACAACGATGATTTGGATGTCTCACCGCTGAGTCGAATCTTCTGTTTGGATTTGACACTAAACACGTGTTCCAGGATGTTGGGGTGGAGGTTGGTTTTATTGTCCACTCTTTGAATGCCATCTCGCCAAGCCTTGCTAGCTTTTGCTGGTTGAAAGGGTCGACCGTGTCGGCTTCCAAGCGCCAGCAGACACTCCTTGGGACGTCGACGGGTGGGACGTCCTCACGTCCTCTGTCCTGTGGATTCGATGCTTTGTCGCAGAGCAGCCGGAAGCCGTTGAACAGGTTCAAGGAGATGATCGCTCGGGGACGGCCCTTGAAGGCTTCCTGCGAAAAAAAGCTTTCCATGGAACGAAAAGTGGCGAAAGTGGCGAAAAGGGAGAAGTTTAGAATAGTTAGTTAGGTGATTCATGGCGATTCTACTTGCTTTGGTTTGTTTTGGTGGGTCTGTGCCCCTGGGTGTTCTTGAGCCCTAAAAGTTGGTCGAACAATTAATATCAATTATTATGGTGGCCTTCATACGGGAAAAATAACACAAACATGGATCAGGCAAAACTCCCAAACATCCTTTGCTAAGAATCGCGTGAGACGGTGACCCAAGGTTTACTCTGATCCGGAGCGTCTCGGGGGGAAATCACTACAACTAGGTGAGGAATGAGCAGTGCAATGAACGGAAGAAAGGCTCCTGAGAACAACTAGAATGAACAGTTTAAAGTGCTTCTCAAGACCATCCAAGACCTCTGATGGAGGCACCTTAGATGGTCCAAATCTATCATTCGGGGTTGGCTGACCCCGGGAATACTAGACTCATTGTTGTGTCATGTGTTGCCCCTATAGTCTTTACCGCACCAACTAATTTGTGGATGGTTTGACCTCCCTCCCTTCCTCCCTCCTTCCCAAACACAGACCACCCACAGCAACCTATCCCCAGCAAATAACTCAGTAGCGGATCTCTCCCATTGGGTCCAAATTCGGATTGGCACAGCACAGCTGGGTTCCAGTGGGTCATCCCCTTTTTGGCCCAAACGGCGCACGTCAAACCCTGGCACAGCACGTCCCAAACCGCGCCACGTCGTGTCGATCCCAGCGGCCTTGATACAAATCAAGCGATCGCTCAGCGCCCCAAAGATGGCGTCGCCCACCGTCTCACGCTCGCCGCCCAAGGCAGCCATAAACATATCCCAAGACTTGCTCAACACGACCAGCTCGGTTTGCGACCTCTGTTCCACAAAGAAAACCCGCGAGCTTGACACCGCTGCGCAGAGGATGATGCCAGCTTGACACCCAGAGAATGGATGGAACCTGGAAATGGACCTTTGGAAGACTCTTTTCCTCTACAACCCAGTGGTGTTCAGGATCCATATTAATCTTGCAGGGTGTAGCTGTGCTGTTTTGTGCGGAAAAACCATGAAAAAACAACAATAGAAAAGTGCGGCGATTGCTACTTAAAAAGCGGTGCCTATTCTAAGTCTTAGCAAAGGTAAGCAAGGCATCTCGGCAATTAGTAAAAGCATCTGTTGTTATTGTCCACAGCAACACCAACCCTAAGAGCTTGTGATAAAATACACAGGCAATAGCAAGGTAATGGATCGTAGAGAGCTGGGAATGGCACTATGAAGAAGTAGAACGTTTGCGCCCAAGAAGAGTGACAAGTCAAAAGGCATGGAGGTGGCATGTAAACTCCCTGAACATACATACGGCATAGTCACGCGACCAAATAAAACACATGTTGCCTGAAGAGGGGCACGCCCCAATTGGTGGCAGTTTGGCTCACCCTTTCCAGCAGTTTGCCCTGAGACTTGAAACTGCTTTGTATCTTTGTTTTGTGCGGAGCAACCGGCCACCTCGACCAAGGAAGCATCGAGGAGAGTGATTCCGATCCCAGTGTGACAATGGCGAGTTTCTAAACATTTATCTTGTTGTCTCGCAAGACACAATTGCAAAAACAGCGGAAGTGTCAAATGGCCTGTAACGGGTAGCTCAACAAGAATTCATGGGTGACAAGGATTCTTTTTCTGACAGCCTTCAGCAAGCAAGACCTTTGGATTTGCTGGCCTTGGCTGGACAACAGCAGCTCCCCAGTTGAGCTGACCATATTTGTGGCCCAGAAAGGGCTTCCGAAGTCGGAAACACTTCTTCGCTTCCTGAAACCGTTTTTGAACAAACACCAACACACACACACACACACACCTAATCCCACAACTCGACACCAGTTCTAATTCTTAGAGTTCCAGAAGCGAACCAAACTCATTCACTCATTCCTATTTGCGCCTCAAGATGTCAAAGACTCCCTTCCTCTATATATATACCTCTATACCGATCCACCATTGCCTGAACCTCCCACCCCACCCGTCCCACCCGAACGACACACACACGCACAGGCAGAGCGCAGAGCAGCGCTGAACTCACTGGTGGCCAGGGCTCCCGACAGCTCGAGAATCTCTTTCATCACGTCCTCCGCACTCAGCTTGTCTTTCTCCGTCTTCCCTTGTCAAGCGCCGGGGTGAAGGACACGGTGGGTGGTTGGCACGTGGTGAAGGACACTGGCTAGCCAGTGAAGAGTGAATGCCGAATTGGGGAACTCTGCAGTGTGACAAAACGAGAGGGTCCAGGTACCTCACTACATGTCTTCCTACTTACTATATGGTAATTTGATCAAACATGCTATATACCATTACCACGACGACTGCGACTGTTGTGCATGAGTCGCACTGCTAGAGGGAGGGTCGACTCGGGCATGGTAGCTCCAAATCGCGTTGAATACATCTCGCCAAGATTCTCTTTGAACCGACCAAAGCGTACACGTTTGGTCTCGAAAAAGGGCGAGAAGCATCAACCATCATCAACCAAAAGTTGGGCAAATGAAGATCTTGGTCCATGACATGAGGATTGCTTTTGATGTTCTTGTTTCAGGTGAAAGAACTTCCTGAGGATGGGGGCTAGCCATGAATCCCCAGTGCACGAAGATTCAAGATCCAGTTCAAGGTCCTCTTTGCTTCAGCTCTACCAGCTGTGAGTCTGGATTCTCAGTTTGTTCAATCAAATCACCATCCAATGGCTGGATTCTGTTATCTAAGACACCCACAATGTTCAGGAAGAAATACATGCAGAAATATGCAGAATCTCTTCAATGGGAAAGACATGATTTCCGTGTTGTCTGAAGATGCTTAAAGGACTATAGACACTGGACACATACAACACCACTGATCATCCACCGGAGCGATGATGTGTGGCACCTTCGCCATCTGAAAGGTTGTCAAAGTCAATCCTCAGTTGGCCCAAGCACTGAGCAACTTAAAATATTTAAAATCACATGTCCAATGGAGATTCTTTGTGTATCCCGTATCCCTTTTCGAGGTTCCAACTATCCTCCGGACGGTTTAGAGTTGGTCCGGAAGGTTCTTTCAGAATTTCGCACACACGACGTGCACCGCCCCAAACTGTGGATGTTACGACTCTTTGAGTGACAGTTGCTGGGATTTGTAAATCGCAATACCAAATGGGTGTGCATTGGAATAAGAAAGATTTGCAAGACTTGCAAGTTATATACAACTAGAATCCATCAACAAAGTAACCAAACCCAGTGATTGACATGAGCTCAAGGCCTACCACCTGCTTTTAAAGGCCATTATACTAGGGTGAAATGACAAAGGAAATGTGGAAAAAAGCTCGGATGTTTTGCGGCTAAGTCATGAGGATTTGCCTTAGGGTCACGGAGTCATATGTCATGAAGCTGAAGCTGGAAAAAAACTCAAAATCAGAGATGTCAGACGTTGTCACCAACAATCTGTCAGAGGTTGTCGCCAAACTGGCCTATGTGCCATGAACGTTTGCCACTGAAATGGCGAATTTTTCACACCTCTACATGACTTAGGACTTGTTCTGGAAAAGTTGTCATATCGGGCCACTTTGGCCAGGGAGATCCCAAATTACATACTGACCCACCCAAGGGTTGGGAGGTCTCCCTACTACACAACCATATGGCTATGGACAGCACAGCACCCAAACACTCCATGTATGGAATACTTACATATATATATATATAACTATATCTATACATTGACCCCGGAAACCACATGTAGGTACAAACATGGCAGTCCCATGAGTGTGTATTCCAAAAATCCTGCACACCAACTACATACCAAACCCGTGCGCAAATGACAATTCATTCACATTCACGGCTGAGCATCAGATCCGTCTCCGTCTCTTCGCGGCTCTCGCCTCCCTCGCTGACGGGTTGAAACTCCGTCACACCTTCCTGCGGTCGTGGCGTAGTTGCGGTGAAAGCGAGGGCAGGTTGTGCGGGCTTTCACCAGAGATCAGTGGATGGGTGGAGCCCCAAACTAACCATCCCAAAGCTGTAATACAGGCTTTCTCGTAACTGGTAATGGTACTAATCAGACTACTACTAGTACTGGCCAGTACTGGTACTGGACTGGTACTATAGTACAGGAACTAGTCAGAGAACCAGCCGAGGTGGTTCGAAGACTGGTTCCTGTACTAGTCTGGTACAAACACTATAACTAACCAATACTAATACTTATAACTAAACCCTGAACCCTAAACCCAATTCTTGTACATACGTACTTATACATCACTGTCATGATTCTGTGTTTGCATATGTTTGCTCTGTGCAAGTCCACCCAGAATCATGGAGAGATCTGTGAAAACTGGTCAATGGCTATTCGTCATGGCGGGAGACCTTGACCAATCGAATGGACCTGGGACCTGGTAATGGACCTGGGTGTTTGCAAGCTCCAGGTTTTGACCCATCGCCACAGTGTGCCACCTCTGCGGTTGCTAATGGAGCCTTTCTCTAAGGTCACGGTGGTCGCTGGGTCTGGTACTCAAGAGGGCCCCCTTGAGTTGGGGTAATCGTCAAGTCAAATGCCCTTTGAGTTAGGGGAACGTTGGATATAGATGCGTAGCTTGTCAGGTGCGGAAGCAAGTTTTACCATGATCAGGCGAAGGGCGAACACAAAGGACTTGGTGGATGTCAGGAGATCGCACTTGTATCTGCCCCTTGTCAGGTCGATAGAAATACTGCTGGTCCACTGAGTAGTGGAGATGTTTATACAAGAGACTCTACAAATCAAATCAGTGTACAACAAAAAAAACTACTGCGTGGCCTAGAAAGGTCGACACCTCATGTAGGTTGACTAGGATAAACATGATTACAGCTGACAAAGGGATTTCAGGGTCGAAGCATGAGGCATGAGGTTGCCGTATTCCCTACAATATTTGCATACACCCCATCATTGTAGCATAGAGATGCTTCATACTCAAGGATCTCCATCTGGGCTGTGTTTTGATTCACCCCTCTTCTCAGAAAACGCTCCGGACTTCACACGGTCCTCCGAGACTTCCTGCATTTGGTTGGTCTCGTCCGCCATGGTGCCCACGATCGATGCGGTGTCGGATGGCACGGGACTCTGACAGGATCACACAGGCCAGGCAGGCCCCCTTTAAAATGGGCGGTCTTGAGCCAACAAAAAAATGTATTAAATGTTAATAGATAGATTAGATTCGATATAAATTCCATAGTTGAAGGGATTGAAACTGTAAACTGCAGCAACAAACCCGGATGGGTACGCAAAGATCCAGGATGGCAAATAACAGCCATGTTACACGACTGTTTCTTTTCATCCATATCTAACATTGAGAAAACACTTGTGAATTTAAAAGAACATAACACCAGCAAGAACCGCTGTGTAGACATGCGGCCCACAGTTGTTATTCGACAGTTGTTATTCGAGGGGGCCACAAGCTGCGGGCACTTCCTGAGTTTCCCCTCCTGGTGTTGGTGTTTTGGTTTAATCCCTGACCACCCTCCTTTTAACCATCCCGATCTCAGCATGTTGCGTCTCTATCGACGTGACCGGTAGGGCAACTTCATCTTTTGCTCGACACATGCTTCAACGCCGGTCCCCTCCGTGACAGAGGGCCCTTCCTTGCGATGTACGGTGAACGTGGCGGTCGATCACTGCCACAAAATGAAACTAGAATGGAGCCTTCTGTTTGGTATATATATATATATATATCAATATCTCAAAGAAAAATCTCCCCTGCCAATCTGGGTTTGAAAGCTTAATGACCAATGATGGTGTTCACCTCACTGCAAAATGAGAAGAGCAATATGAGAAGTCACCTGGGGGATCTATTACCATCGCCCGACCATCCCTAATCAGTTCACTCTCATCTTACCTTAACTTTATAGTATTATTACATCGTGTCAGCAGTTTTTGAGGTTTTTGTTCGGAGCCCGAGTTGTTGGGTGGCATTATGTGGCATTTAATGCATTTTAGCTGTTCTTTCTGTCCCAATCCGCCACCAACATCACCAGAGTGGAGGTGTTATAAGTTCGATGTGGAGGAATTGGATGGAGAGTGAAGTGGAGCCGGCCCTGCTACAAACATACGGACCAAAAAGAATGGATGTGGATGGATGTGGCATTTCCTGCAAGAGCAACGGCTGGGATTTGAATGTAGAAACTGTACTTCTCGGGGCCCTAATGAAACGGGCTCTGAAGGACATAGGAAACTCGTCATTCGGCGGAATTTGCAAGGCATGCCTTGAGACATGAAAGGCTTTCAACTGGTTCTTCAACTTAACCCACCTTGCAGTTGCGAGGTTGCTTAGACACCCCAAAAAGCAGAACTTTGAAGAGGCTGGCTGGGAGATCAACATCTTGTGCAGGGGATCATCACCACCTCTTGCAGAAGCAGCTATCTCTTGATGTCTGGGAGACGTCCGGATGACGCATTAGGGAACACACTCCGCCCTGCCCGGCAGCATGGTCACCATATGATGAACCATCATATAAGAACACATCCTCATCTGACTAAGTTCTCAGGGACATCAAGAGCAGGAAGAATAACCTGACTACTGTAAATTCCGTGGTGTTCCTGCTTTCTCGTAGTGCAGGATCAATTGTGACCAAAAGTACTTTCCATCTCAATGTGAATTATATCGAGTTATAGGGGACGGAAACTCTATGACTCTATCACTCATGGAAAATGCATGGCGTTCACCACTATGTGTAGTTCTTGTTCACTTCACTTCCACACATCTCTGTATATAGAGCTTTTGTGGCTGCTCCAAGATTCTCTGAAATGTGGCACAGCAACACAACAATGGCTGAGCATCAAGAATTGACTTCGGACGAAAACCAAGATAGAGCACTGTTAGACTGCAGAGCCAAGGTGCAACTAAACACATACCACAAATCCCGCAATGTGGTCATCCCCACAATTCTAGCTGATGCAAAGAAACTCGTGTTGTCCTCAAGATGAATTCTGTCAATCTATTGTGAAACACAACGTGCGCGATGGTTGTACATGCTTATGACTTTGTGAGCTTGGCCATGTCCATGACAAATATACACAACAGCAGTAAGAATTATCTTTTTGGCCAATGGTACAATATACTGTACATTGGAGGGACAGTGGCCAGAGAGAAGATCCAAATATTCCTTTCACACTGTCAACATGTCCAGCTGTGCCCTTAAAATCTGGTCGCCTGAAGCCGTATCGGCGCAAAATGCGCTCCAGCATGCTCCAGCCAATTAAGACCAAACGCAACATAGAAGCCATCCACTGGCAAAGGACAAGCCGCGAGAAGCGATCAACCATCATCCACCAATTGTACGTCGACTACGTCACAAGCAATCTGTTATGAGCTTGTTTAGATGCAAAGGAACCAGCTTCTCGTGTGTGATTGCTCAAAGAAATTTGGTGTCTCTAAGCTGCAAGCGCCAGTCGCATGGAAGGCAAGATGACACATCTATGTTGCAGCAAATTCACGAGACTCCTGCCCTTCAGCACCCTCGAACCTTCAGAAACTCATCTCTTTCACGGAACGGAACCCCCGGGAGGGTCAACTGGTGAATCCAACAATCTGCAGTGAGACCAGACCATGACCCGACCCTGTCACCCACCCCAAACACTGAACCTCAAGAAGTAGATTGATCATGTTTGATCCTTGAAGTTGACAGTCTCACAATGTGGGTACATTGCCCTACAATCCCCATCTGGCTCTGTTTCAAGGGCAACAAATGCTGAATGGAAAGAGTTCTCCTGCAGCAGAAGGCACCAGGGATTGTCAAGAAAACAAAGAGCTGGACACACAGGGATTGTCAAGAAAACAAAGAGCTGGACAGTTACTATTGAATATTGACTCCTAATTATGCTTCCAATCCCCTTCTGGAAACTGACAGCTGACTACTTGGGTCCCCTCAAAACAATAATACCACCTGTCAAGTCGTCCTTTTGTCCACCGGTTCGCTGTATTCCCAACTGCGATTTGGACCTGCGTCACTGTTGTCACTGACTATAGGACTACAAAACAAAATGATTGGCCACGAAAACGGGTGGGATTCAAGAGATGTTGGTCTTAGACACCATAATCATGGATTATAAGTGGCATCTCTAGGATCGTCTTGGATCATCTATCGTCTGGAAGGGTCATTTCGACACACCAAGCCGTCGATGGACAAAGCCGTAGTTGGCCGTTGGGATTTCTTACACAACGATTTTTTACAAAACACCGTTTCTCAGCTACACTACACTCTTTAGAAGGATTCACGTCGTAGATGGCTGGCACACACACACACACACTACCCGTACTATCGCTCAAATTGAGCAGGTCACGATTGCAAGGTGAAAGCAAAGGCAAAGCAGGAAAACAGCGTAAGAATCTTTGGGCGTGTGTGCACCTCACGTACGCTTGACTTTTCTCATTCTCTGCCTCCCTCAGTTTCTTTGTAACATGTTTTCGCCTGTTCTATCTATAGTGAGGAAACCAATGCCCAAAAAAACTAAAGGTTGTCCACTGACACTGACTGGGTAGGTTCTAGACACACCTGGGAGACGGGATGGGCTGCCACGCCGTGTCTGGCCACGGGCGTGTCTTCGACCCCGAGCAGGTCGGCTCCGTGGCAGGCTCCGTGAGTGAAGCACAGGGTGACAAATCAGAGGCTCTGTTGGACGAAAAACCTCAATGAAATGGCCTCCAACCTAGAAGCGATGGCCTCCAGCCTAATTGCGATGGCCTTCAACCTACTAGCGATGGCTTCCAAACACAAAAGCTTGAGCTAACATAAGCAAGGTAACAAATAGGGAGTCGCTACTGAGCGATCGGAAACTGCAGTACTAGGCACCTGGGCACGGAAGCGCCCGCGCTTAATGATGTGGTTCCTAGATGTTTGGGCAAACTTAAGCTGCTCCTTCTGCTTAATGCCCCTTTGGAGGAGTATATATGGCTTTTGGGGGCAGTAGTGCGCTGCCTTAGGTCAACACCGAAACGCATGTCCTGGATGCACTTTTCTCCTAGAGGCTGAATGTGATGAAGGTGTTCCACAGCACTCAGCTGAAAACATATGCAGCACAGCATAAGGCATATTTATTTATATATAGTGTTCTTACCCAGTACTTCCAGCTACCCATCATCACCTATCCCCAGTTCCTCTTATTACCGGCCATCGAATTCTGTTTGTACAACTAATTAAATTCAATTATGTATATAATAGTTAACTATATAATAATACACATATATATAGAGAGAAATATATAAACTACCTAAGCTCAAGTGAAGGGCCCCACCAAGTCACTACTTTCCTCTTCCACCCCTGCCAACCCTGCATGTCCTATGACATCAAGTCATCTGAGCTTCATCCCGATTCAAGGTTGTTCCGGGCAGAGTGGGGCGGAGTCGGAGCAAACTGAGATGGCTCTCATGGCGGGTCAATCATGTGTTGCCGGCTTCAACGATCAAACCCCTGACTAGTGCAAATTTGACCATCCTCAATATTTAGCTGTAGGTCGAAAACGTTGTACTTCACATGTCACGCGTGAGAACAGAATCCTCATATGGCCTACAGCATTCATCTCCAGCAAGGCCAATTCAACCTATTTTAACTATACTATACGACATCATGAGTATACACACGGATACCATGTTAGATAGCATGTATAATCACGTATGGCACATATATTACTCTATATATCAGAGGTTGGGGAGGCCCGGTGCGAATGCGAGTGGCGCTGTGGCGCTGTCGCGAGGGGGGTCTCGCGAAGGAGGTCTCGCGAAGGGGGGTCTCGCGAAGGAGGGTCTCGCGAAGGGGGGTCTCGCGAAGGGGGGTCTCGCGAAGGGGGGTCTCGCGAAGGGGGGTCTCGCGAAGGAGGTCTCGCGAGGCGGGT